ATTTCTTGGAATGGACAGAGTTATTCTGGAAGAGCGCCATCTGGAGGGAATGCTGAAGCACATTTTGAAATGAGCCTCAAAAGACTTGATGGATGGGAACAGGGTGAACAAAGACAGAGAGATGCACAAATGCAGGCTAGATAAAGAGATTGGTTAACTAATCGATACATTGACCAAATACATACTGAGCACCTAGGAAGTGCCGGTGACTGACTTTGCTGAGTTTGTAGAAGGGAGTGGGAGGATGTGGCTGAGCCTGACAGGACAGAATAATAAAGTGGTACTTCACTCCGAAGGTAAATGGAAAACGCCGATGGTTGTTAAGTTGGAGGCTGATATGATTGGAGTTGCCTCTGATGAAGATTAATCTGGCAGCAGAGGCTAATATTCCAGCCAAGTGGAAGCACTGAGGATTTGAACCAGAGTAAAGACCGTGGAGAAGGAAGGGAAGGGCCGGCTGAAGAAATGTTGTGGAGGAGTAAGAGACAAAGTCCAAGGTTTTGAACTTGAGTGACTGAGATCAACAGAAGTCAAGAAACAAGGAACAGAAACAATGACGTCAGGAGGAGCATTTGGTAGCAGGTGGAAGGCAATGATCATAATAATAGCTGATATGAAGCACCTGGAGGGCAGGGGCGGGGGTTGTTTTGGTTCAGACGTTTATGCCCTGTGCTTGACATACTCAGTAAATAGTTGTCACAACACATGTTAAACATTTCATTGGACTGGATTGTCACATCCATGCTAAGAAGAAGGCGTAATCATCCCCCATTTTTTGCTATCAATTCTACTTTTTATTTTGAACTACTTCAGGCACATACAAAAATGTAGGGAATAGTATAAAAAATTTATATTAGAAACACCTACTTTTCAGCTTGAGAAACAAAGCGATACAGATATTGTCATTACCACCACTTACAGGTGAGAAACCTGAGGCCGAGAGTGGTTTAAAAACGTGCTCAGGGTCACAGAGCTAACACGCAAGAGCTGCGATGTGACTGCAGGCCCGTCTGCCACCAGAGCCCACGTGCTCAACCGGATTTGTGGCAGTGATGGGACGTCCAGCTGGAAGTACTCAGCGGGTAGATGGAAATGTAGTACATGAGACAAAGAGAGAATTCGGGACCAGGAGAATTCATATGGGAATTATGGGTGTGCAAGTGGTGGTCAAAGGGATGGCAGTCAAAGGCAGATAACATAACACAGAGACCTGGGCTTGGGGGAGGCACCTCCTCACAGGGAGAATCAACATATAAGAGACTATTTCAAAGCCTCGCCTGTTCACAGCCTAAGTGCTCTATTTATTCCAGCTTGGAGTCTCCCTCTTGTTTCTTAGAAAAAGAGCTGCCTGCCTGCTGTCCAGGAGTTCTTGTTGGGTGCATCTGGCAGAGGGCTGGGCCAAAGCAGACATCAACAGTCTGCATCATCCTGTTAATAAAAATCCTGAAGGTGAGGATGCTATTTTCCCCTCCAGGCAGAATCTCAAATGCACCTCTAACCACATCCTGTTGGGTAGCTAACAGGCTTCTAGCAAAGGGTGGGCCTGTTCGGAGAGGTGTGCCCCCCAGCACCGCACAGCGACTGTGACCACGACCGTGGGGGTTTCAGAGCTCCTTAGGGCTTGAGCGAGTTTGAAACCATTAGCAATGCTGCCCACGAAGGGAGCAATTCTGGCTTTCCTGCCAGAGCAGAAGTTTTAGTTGCCTCAAGAGAGATGTAAGTATTCCGGAAAAAGTCTTGTAAGTTTTTTGATAAGTATCCAAATCTTCTCAGGCCAGTGAAGATCACAGGATTTTGGAAAAGTTCCCAGTTAATATCAAGTTTTTATTTAAAAATTCCTATGGCAATTTATTTACAACTAGAAGATCTGTATATAAAAATTTTCTTAGCAAGATGTTCTCCAGAAAAAAATTGGCAGCAGGCACTAGAGTAGGACTTGTTACGTGGCACATGTGCCATGAGCTTTTTAACAACACTATGAACCTTTTCTGAAAGATCAGAAACACAGAAGGAGGGACCATATTAGTATTTTGACTCTCAGGTTCCGCTTCGTTATAAAGTCAGATGAGGCGAGGCTAGGCTAGGCACAAAGTTTAACCTCTAACTCTCAGTGCTCTTCATGCAAGGAAATCTTCTGTGACTCTTTGGAGTAGCTCCCTTCCAAAGACTGGCTCAAAGAAACAGTGTACTTCTCTCTTCATTCATTTCAATCTAATGGTGAGCAGGGTGGGGCCATAGACATGTCATGTATTTAGGGTACATTTATCATCATTTATTCTCTCTATGATCTGATTAGGTGTCCTCCAAATATCAAGGTAGGAGAAAGCTAAAGGGTCATACACAGATTTTGCAAAGCTCTGGCCCAAAAGTAACAAGTCAGTTGTCCAGAACTAGTCACACAGCTCCACCCAAGGGTAACAGGACCAAAGGGTGTAGGCTCCTGCGTGCCCGTGAATTCAATATTGACACATAGAGCCAGGCCTACCGTTTTTACCCAGGTGGAAATCACCTCACACTGATGAGAAAGGGCAGCATTTGCCATGTTCCTTGGCAAAGGAAGCTGGTTGGTGAATAGGCAGGTAACTAGGTCTTAACCCTATTGTCCAATATTTGCTTGATGGTGAAAACAGTTTTGTGGAAATATACTTCTTTTCCATCCAGGATTCGCAAATACTAGGCAAAGGCTGGTATAGTGTGAACCTGGCTGTGCCTCCATGTGCAAATTAGGCAGTGTGAGAAGAACACATTTTTTCCCCCGTTCACCTCTGGGTTCTGGGGTCAGATGCAGAGCTCTCTGCTGTGTGAAGACTCAGCGTCATCCAAATGACCTGGGGTTCATGCCAGACATACCCAATGTCAAATTTCAAGAATGAATGATGTCAAGACCCTCAATTATTTTTCTGTAGAGTTAATACAGAAAATGTAGGAAGGCGATTAATGCCCCTGAGGCTGCTTTGGGCATTTCCTCATACTCGGTTGCCCTCTGAGCTAGCTTGCTTTTCGTCTCCTTGGTGTTACCCACGTTACTACCACGGAGCTTAGTATCCTTCTCCTCTGGGTCTCCCTTCAGTTGCCCAGCATCTGCCATCGTACCTTGCGTGTGACCACCAGTCAACTAATGTGAACGTTTCTTATGTAAATGAATGGCGCATTGCACTTTTTGTCCTACATAGGACCGACATAGCCGGCCACATTCATGTGCACTGGGTCCTCCCACTTCACTGCTCTCCAATTCTTGCTGTTTTGTTCAATCTCTCTGCCCCCACTGGGCAGTGCTGTGGAGAAGCAGTGACACTTGGGGGATCTGAGGCAGCGTAAGTGCCAGAAAGGGCATCACAGTTGTTGGAGGTCATCACAGTTTGTGATTTAATGGCCTGGATAAGGCTGCAGCTGAGGGACAACGAGTCAAGAAGTATTCCTCAGACGACTGTCAGAGTGAAATAAAAGGTCCACTTACAGAGACCCCTTTCTTTATTGTTTTTTCTAGCTTGCCGTCCATTAACATATCCTTATAACTTGAATACAATCCTTGACTCGTTTTAAGCTAATGTCAATTTTATGGCTGTGACTTGCGAAAGCTGGAATTTTGAACTTATCAGGAAACTTTTTCTTTGCATTAGGCACTTCACATTTTTGGATTTACATCTTTTTACCTACCAATTGGTGTTTTGGGTGCTTTAAATAAAAACATACGTTAATGTGCCACAGGTCAGAAATATTTGCAAAAATTACTCACCAAGTAAATTCTTGATTAGTCCCTGGTGGAAGAACAGAGAACCCCGAAAGCACAGAATTCCAAGACCATTAAATCACTCAAAGTGGATCCCCCAAACGGATACAGGATTCCCAGTACCATTGGAAGGTGAAGACAGAAGCTACCTTTGAGCCCATCCTCATTGCTAATGAGGTGAGGAGACGGAAGTCAGGGTTGAGTCGATACCCACGTGCTCCCGACTCTGTTCCCCGTGTTCTTCGGTAAGGAAGAACTGTAGATTGGGGCAATCCTCTCATGTGCAAGTGTCGGTTGATGGTACTTGTCCTAATTGCCTCCCAGATGAAACTTTAAAAAATATGTGAAGGAGATATGAAAATTTAAAAATAAACGTAACACTGTGTTGATCAAATAAATAATTATTTGGAGGGCTGCAATGTGCCTAGCAGGCATTGGACAAAAAAAGAGGTTGAAAAGTCTCCACAAAGAATGTACAATCTAGTTGGAAAGAGAGGTGCGAAAAAGCTAGGAAAAAGTTGAATAGGTATTATCTAAGAACTATGTACAGTTCTTATGAAATGTTAGTTACGGTGGAGGGTTGTATACACAAGGTTACAAGAAAAACGGCATGTGTGTCCTGGGGGGGGGGAGGTGGGGGGCAGCGGCAAACCTTCTCTTTGGCCTTTCCCAATGGTTTAACACTCACAATGGCAACTATTGTTAATGCCATAAATGGAAAAATGATGCCTTGTGGTGGATACCCTGTCTCTGCATCTTTCAGTTCAGTTATAGGTAAGAGAAGATGTCAGATGAGCAGCCAGCGCTGTGCCAAGGAAAAGCGTGTCTTCCAACAGTGTCGTCGCAGGTTGACGAGCGATGCTGGACTTACCAGATCACCTCCTAGGCTTCCAAGGCTGTTGCTGTTATTTCCACCTTCATTCCAACAGCTACCCCGGCCGCTCGCGAGCCGAAATGTACAGACAGAGCCCACCAGGCTGGGCTGGACCTGGAGTGCTTGTGGCAACCTTTTGGGGGCTCTACCCTGAGTCCCACGCACCCCGGGACTCCCCGGAAGGAAGTCCTCGGCCCGTGGAGCAGCGTAGTCCCCGTCTCTCCTCCAAGAAGCCACGCCCAACACAAGGCCCCCATTGTGTCTTGGGGAACAGTAGCCCCGCAGTATTACACTGGCTGCTCCTCTTGAAAGGGAGGGACCGGCTCCCGCTCTGGCAACCCCAGCCAGAGACGAGGCGGGGCCGCGGCGGACGGGGCAGGTAGCGGACCCGGCAGGTGGCGGGAGCGCGGAGACACACGCTCCGGGGCCGCGCGAGCGCGGTGCTGCGGCACCTGAAGGCGGAGCCAAGCCCCGCAGCCGCGGGCTCGCGGGCGCGAAGCCCCCTCCCCGCGCCCCTCCCGCCGGAGCGTAGACGCGCGTAGGTGCGTGAGGCCGCGTCCACTCAGGATCTTGCAGGCGTGGGCCCCCATGGAGCACATCCGCACGCCCAAGGTTGGTGGCCGGCGTGCGGGCGGAGGGAGGAGCGGGAGCAGGGATGCTGAGCTGGCCGGAGGCCTAGCTTCCCTGCGGGGCGCCGGCCGAGTCCGCCCCGCGGTCCGCGGAGGGGGAGGTGGCAGTCCCCCGAGCATCTCCCGGTGCCCTGTGAGCTTCATCCTTCTCTTCCTGCCTCGCAGGCCTAGCCTTGGCTGATGCTGCATCTAACCTCTCGTCCTTGGGGGTGCGCAGTGGAAATAGGGATGGACGGGAGGGAAACCCAATTGTTTGTTGAGCAATGGGGTGGCTGGTCTGCTGGTAAAGGCTCTTTTCTGATCCCGCGCGGGGTTGCGGCTGCCTTATTTATTTATTTACTTATTCTGGTGGCGGTGCTGAGCAGTTGAAAGAGAAGCCTTCTTAATGACAGATGCGGGAAATGGAGTTATGTGCAGGTGGATTGAAGACACTCGAAAAGCTGTTGAAACTAAGGGTTCAGACCCCCTCCCTCGGCAGCTCGCCCTCCGCCTTCCCCATCCTCAGGCTTTCAGCTGCTGAGGCCTGTTCACAGGGCCGATGACCAATATTCCCTGCAGGTTCGATACTACCATTCCTTCCGTCGTCTTGCCTTTTCCAGCCTGTGTCATGCATTGGGGAGAGGGGTGCAGCTTATAGGTTCCTCCACGGGTGTGTTTTGAACACCAGCTTTTGTCACTCAGTGGAAGCGACTGATCCCTGATCCGTTCCGGTTAAATAACCTGGGAACGTTGGCTGCCGCCCCTCAGAGTGCACGAGTAGTCAAACTTAGCCATGTTTTAAGAGATGGTCCACATTCCTAATGAAAACCGTAAACCAGTAAAAGAGTTTGCTTTGAGAGCCTGTTGGCAGCTCGTGTTACTACCACCCCAGCTGCTTTCCTTTCCAGGGCGATCTCAGGTTCAAAACCCAGGCCCTTGACCGGCAAGTCAAGGCTGAGCCTGAATGGTCAGAACTTGGATGGCCCCAGGGATCCCACTCATCTCAAGGGGCCTGTTGCTTCCTGGTCTTTGGAAGTCCAGTAGGAAGAGTTCATTTCTAAATTCTGGAATGGTTCCTATGTACCTCTTTGTCAAAGCGGCTTTACAGTTATCTCAGGTCAGTGGAAGAATAAACATTTCCATTTGCCAGAGACGGTCAGTTCCAACAGTACATTTAAATTGCATTGATTTTGTGTGATGGAATTAAATTGTTGCTTCACAATCGGGAAATTGTAAACGTAGAAGAGAGTGCCATAAACCGCAGGAGAGGGCGGCTCAAGGCTTTCAGGGTTTAAGTGGTGCTAAATAATTTATCCAGGAATGACGAATTTAACTCATGGGTTCTCTCTGCCCTTGTCAAGGGCATCCTTTCATTGCCACGACGGAGGGGCCCTTTTTGAGAATGAGGTCTGCTGTGAATGTCGGTGGTGAGATTGATAGGGTGACTTGGCACTGGACGCCATTTTCCTACAGAATATGAATTTGGGGAGTAAAAGCCTTTTCCGGTTCATATTCACACTGGCTCTGTACGAAGCTATATGTGTGTGAACCCGAGTGGCAAGCAACATCCTCCCTGACTCTCAAAACTGGTTTTTCCTAAACACCTTCCAAGCAGTGCAGTGCTCCAAATCAGCACTTGCCTTCTACCAGGAAAGACAAGGAAATGATGAAAGTGGAGACTTGTCTGAAATGTCATGGAACTGTGGGTCATTCACATTTAGGATAATGCAAGGGGAAAAAGTTAAACATCTACAGTGGTTGGGTGGGCCTGATTCCTTTATTCATTCATTTCATTCCACAAACATGTGCAAACCTTCTGTAGACCAGACTCTGTGCTAGGACCCAGGAGCATTAGGTGCCAACGAGCTCCCAGTCTGGAAGAGGAGGCAGCTGTAAACCTGGACAGACACAAGTACAAGGGACAGAGGGCAGGGAGGGGGAAGGGATGAAAGATGAGCTCTGCCAGAAGGGGTAAGGGAAGCCTTCTTAGAAGGGCTGAGTCTTAACATGCAAGGAGTCAAGGAGGGTCCGGGGCATCGGAGACAGCTGTCATGCAGTTGTGTAGATATGATGGGCTGTAGTAAATCAGTTAGAGCCTCAGAGAAGCTGAGAACCTTAGAGTGATAAAGATAGAAATGACAAAGTGACTCCTTGAGGTTAAACAAAGTCTCTTTTCATTTTACATTCTAAGTGAATTTTCACTATACAAATGAGAATGAGAACAAGAATGCTTACAGAGTGTGTGTCGCAGAACATAATTATTGATGGTCAAAGATGCTCGGCCATCTTTGTTCTGTACTTCTATTACACTTGGGGGTAGTGGACAGGTAGCTTGCCTTAAACTCCACGATTTCATGTCTTGGGTTGATTATAAGGAGGATACACAGAGTTGTTTATCTGACCCAGTCTGGGTATGAAGTGATTTTACCATGTGGGTAGCAGGCGTTTATTCTAGGAGAAAAAGAAATGTGTTGCATGTACAATGTACAGTTGCTCTCCTACTACCATGTAAGTCATTCCCTTACTCTTCGTAAGGTCTGTGCTCTCCATCACAGCCTCTTGTGTCCTGATTTAGTCTCAGAAGTGCCTCTTAAGGAGATCAGTGCACAGGAATAATCTGGAACATGTTTCTTCTTGGGCACATGTGTTGAACTGAAGGCTCTAACAGAGAGTGTGCTAAGCAGGGTGTTTCTCTCCCAGAATGGTTCCTCTCTCAATGTTCCTAAGACAAACTAGCTTGCAGCTGGGTAGAAGTGAGGACACCACGCATTACCGGCCTCATCACAGTGAAATTTGGGGTTTCTACCTCACTGTCTGGCATTCTGCACCACTCTGAAAACTTGCTGATGAGAAGATACCCTGCAGGGATAACTGGGGCTCCAGTACTACTTAGTCATAAAGAAAAGGCTTCAGAGCTCTTAGAAGTAGCTTGACAGGTTTGCAGGATTTGGTATGGTCTTGGGTGGGTTTTGCTGATGGGTCTAAGGATCCCAGCTAAGTTATGTCTATTTTTCATGCCGTGGTCTTTGTGGAAGACAATTTTTTTCGAATGTGTAAATCTGAGTTGTAAACTAGAATATATGATGACCTTTCAAAGCAGATCTTGAAGATGTCTTCCCTTCTCTCCATCGCATCCCCATCTGAGCTACTTACTACTCAGCTCCTGATTGGTCTCCTAGTTTGTTCTTTGCTCTTTTCTACTCCTGTCTCCACAGAGGGAGCGTGGTTGTACCACTTGGTCCAAGTTGGTCATCTTACACTTCCCTGCTCAGATTCTTGGGTGGCTTCCCTTTATACTGAGGACACAAAGTGAGAGCCCCAGAGTAGCCCGTAAGGCGTTGTATGCATGGATCCTTTTTACTTTCCTTGAAATCTTTGAATAATTCTTGATTTCAGCTCTTCGGTTTATAGTATTTGCTTTAGTAATCCAGGCCTCCTGGGCACTGTACCCGTGACGAATTATGGCATTGTGAGTCTTCTAGCGGAACTAGTGTCAAGTACTTGTGAATGTCAGTATATTACGTAACACATGTAGATACACAATGACCTGTGTTTCGTGATGATGCATAGTTTGAGTGGGATAGAATTCAAACAACATTCACTATTTCAGTCATTTTAAAGTGTACGTTTCAGTGTTCTTTAGTACATTCGCCATGTCGTGCAGCCATCATCACTGTCCATTTCAGAACATTCTCATTGCTCCCAACACAAACCCAGAACCTATTTGTAGCGGGTCCACACCTGGTCATCTACAATTCACATGTAGATGTCATCCACCTATTCGTTGTTGTGAAGATTCCATATTATTCATGTGACTGCAGTTTGCTTAATGTGTCTCCACTGTTAGGGCTTTGGGTTTTGTGTCCCTGTGAAAGTCCCTGGTACCATTTTCTTCATGTATTTTTCTGAGAGTGGAATGACTGGGAGTAGGAAAGTTCTCATAAGCATTCTTATTACAGGATATCTTTCTGTATCTGAAAGCCTCTCATATGGCCCAGAGTTTAGGTGAATTTTTTATAGTCCCAAAGAGCAGAGGAGATCTTAGCTCAAAATAGAGAATTTCATTCCCACAGTTACACGTGTTTGTATAAGAGAAATTAGTTCACCTATGAAAGCATAGCGGTGCTGAAACAGAGTTGGGGTGACTCGTCAGAGAAGACCCGGTGGCATTTCTGGCTTCTGAGAGGAGAACGGACTAGAACTCTGTTTGAATTTCATCTCAGCCAAGTGCCCAGCTACCCTGAGATTCACACTTCTGATGCAGGGAGCTCACTGTGTCCCCTGGTGACCCATAATGACCATGGACAGCTCTCATGATTACAAAGTTTTTCTTGTATTTAGTCAAAATGTGTCCCACTGTAGTTTTTAGTAATTGGGTCTAGCTCGGTCTGTACATCAGCCCTCCTTCCAGGAAATGGCCCTTCACGTGTTTCCTTAGGCACGGCCATCTCCCTGACCCTTTGCTCTTACCTAGGTCGTTAGCTCAGTAGCTTCTATTCTGGCCACCACCCAGTGCCTTGGTTTTTCACCCCTTTACCATCCTGCTTACTCAGTGAGTTATAGGAACTTATGCTACTTTAGGTTTGGTTGAACTTGGAGAGAGTAATATTTGATAACTTTTTTAAACTGCATACATCCTCGAGTTCTAGCTTAGTGGCCTTTTGGTGAGCTAAGGGTCTCTTCTCTTTGGAAGGGAACCCCAAAGTTGTCTGTGTACCTGGTGCTATGAAGCTGTCTCCTCTACTATTTCCCTGAATGCTGATGTCTTGCACTTACCTTTGCTGAATATTATTTCATTGGAATTACCTTATTGCTTAATTCCTTACTTTGTTTTTAGATCACGATGCACATCTGCTATTCCTCTCAGTTTGGGGCCATTCACCAGTGAACTTGCCCTCTATTACCTCATCCAAGATCTTAACTAAGGGAGAAATTAGGCAGATGTGACTTCCTAGTGATTGAAGGCACTGTCCCCATCTCCCAAGATTCTGATTCAGATAACAG